GTGTGGGAAACCTGACTGTGCACAGAAATGAGCAAGAAAAATATCAAAGTCAAGTTCCCTATAAAAGTTATTATAAGGGAAAAAAAACCACCAAGCACACCATAAAGACGTGCCCATAAATAGCTCAACCTGTAGCATTCTGTTCCAAAATGAGTTAAAAGACATTAAGAACTGCATAAGATTGAAAAGACAACCTGGAGAAGATTTGGAAAAACTCAGAAAATGAAGTGCTGAATGTAGGAAGAAATGATAAATAAAAATAACGGAGAAATATAAAAGGACTAGGTACCGAAGATGATGCCCTTAGAGAAATAGAAAGAAGAAATTTCTGTAAAAAAAATTAAGAAACAGGTGAAAATAGTTTTCAAGAAAATGACAAAACAAAGAAAGTCATATGGGGCCACCATTTCTATCCAGGAGGCCCTAAGGGACACCACAGCRGAACAGGTAGCAAACGTGAAATAAAACAGACCTGAACCTCCGTGTCAAAGGTGCTCCCCACGAGCCTGAGAACCCCAAGGGCAAGACATGCCCCAGAAGACCTCCAAGACTTTACATTTTAAAAAATTATTTTGATATCTGGCCCCAAACAACAACAAGGAGAGATCATTGATTAACATCAGACTTCCCAATAGCAATCTTTATATCAGAACAAGCTAAAGTAGTCTACACAGGATTCCCAGGGGAGCCATGCATGAGCTAGGCTTTTTACATCCAGGGAAACTGAGTTTCCAATTTCAAAGGACTGAGCTGTGATCACGATGTCACTACGGAAACGATGTGGTATGGAAGGAAGGCTGTTCCCCTGAGCCCCTCCTGGGAGGCGCTAGGACACATGCGTCAGACAGCCCAGAGAACTCCAGAAGTGACTCAGGTGATGACATGGGGGGGGGGGCGGTGGGCGGTGTCTTATGTAAGAGCTGAGACCACAGGAGCACTGAGCAGCTGCTCGCTGTCACCATGTGGAGCAGCACAGAGGTACCGACGAGGAGAATGGGAAGAACGTACACAAACACTTCAGTGGTCACTCGTCATCTTGATTGTGTCAGGTGTCATTGTTCCCAGATTATTGCCTGTGAAATGTGAAATAAAAATTTGTAAGTTATTAAGAAATAATCTAATTCTATCATCCCTTGTGTCCTTGATAATCAGGAGTGGAGATGTGGGAAGAGAAAGTGGCATAGATGTCATGTAGGAAAGCCTAGGGAAGGTCCCCATGTCTTAAATTTAAACTGAAACTATCAGAATCTGTTTGGACAAAGTCCTGGAAATGGGGACCAAATAAGTAGAAATGAGCCCTGTTGGATCTAGATGATGCTTTTGCAAAACCATTTTCCAATAAATAAACCAGGACTTCTTGGAGAAAATTACTGATTTGAAATAGAAAGCATGCATGTGACCTTGGGGCATCTTGCCACACCTGACATCAGGGAAACTTCACCAACTTCTACTAGGGTCATGTTGAAAGAATCCCTGGGCCCACTTGAAAAGGCTTCCAGTGAGCACTTGAGATGATTGGACCTATGATAAGAACAGCAATCGCAATGGACTGAAGTCGGTCACATGAGTTTAAACTTGGAGTTCATAGTATTCTAAAAACAGTAATTAGCTAACTTAAGCAGACAACCCATTAAGTACATTAAAACTAACGTGAAGGTCAAGAGTCAAGCATTTATCTTGCCTTTCCCATCAGAAATGGACCACTTGGTAGCCAAATTCTACAGGAAAGAAAGTACATCACTAAAAGAAAACATCCAGCTAATAAATGAAAATGAAATGATGGCTTTGCAGACTGAAGGAATTGATGGAATGAGGCAGTGTCCGCTGGTTCTATTAATGTCAGGAAGAGAGACGCCCAGACGGCAGGTGCCTCCTGGTGAGAAAACAGACTCCGCCTAAGGCCCTGCCAACCTCTGGATCCAATGGCAATTTGTGGAAAATGCAGAGGACAGGAGTGCATTCAGCTATATCAGATTATGCACTGGGGAAGATCCAGGTTCTGAAGCTACAGATGAAATGTCCCAGGTTCTTTGATTTAAAAGTCATTATTTAAAGATCACCAGAGCCAACCATCAGTGAGTCCTTCGAGTCAGGATTAATCAGTCACAAATAACTCTCTGCACATGGAGTTGAACTTCCTGGATCTTGAGTTCTGGGTTAAAGTGCATAGTTCTGAGAACATGTTTACAATTAAAAGTTTCAGACTTTAAAAACGTCATCTGTGAATTATTTGAACTTAAATTTAATTTATTAGTTTTGATCGTTAATCCAGTCAAGGAATTGTTCTTTTGGCGAGTTGAGTGTTTTAGGTTTGTAAACATAAAACATAAAATCTATAAAATAATGTATAAAATAAAAAATAAAATCTATATTAAAAAGGTCTTTTAAAACTAWTTTTTTGTCATTCTCAATGAAAACAGTATGCGTCATCCATCCCATTCTTTTTACTCCTACATCTCTGATATATTTAGATGCAAAGTGAGCAGTTACTGATTCTTTTTAGCTGCAATTTACAATTTCAGATCTAAAATTGCTTTTTTCCTTTGTGAAATGAATCTGTTTAATGCTATGAGTATGCATCTGCATATGGCTGTCAGTATCTCTTAGGGCCAGAAGAGGGCACTGCAGAGCAGTGTAGCCCTGAGCTCCTTGTAACAAGCAGAATCTGAGAATGTCCTTTGCTAAAAGATACACCCAAAACTTTATAACACCAAGAAAAACTGAAGGGATAATGAGATAATCACTATAGGCCTCATTCACCAGAAAAAAAGGGCTGTTAAAACATCTATCTATGTAAATACATACCTAGTGTATCAAATATATGTCTATCAAGCACAATACACGCATCTCTTCTTTCTTCCTTCAGGTACATTCCAAAGTTGAACCTGAAGCTTTTCTGTTCCTACTACCTCTKCCATCAGTTATAAAAGCAGTTCTCAAGCACTCCCTTGTACACATTAATGCTGTATTTTGTTTTAATCAGCTCGAATTTAGGATAAAGTGGATGTGAGGCCTTTTAGTAATTTTATGTGGTGCAGGAATCATTTAGGAAGCACTGTACTAGATATTATCCCAAAGGCTCTTCCCCATGTGAAGAGCATGGTTTCAGCATCAGCTACTCTACCTGCAGTTAGGTCAGTAGGTTCAGGCAGGAAGAGACCTAGGCCTATCCTTGACCTTGAGGATGAATGAAGAACGGTGGGATCTGCAATCCTCTCCTAAGGCTGCCTGTCACAGGGCCTCAGTAGGGGACCTGTCTCCTCATTGAGTGGGTTTGTAGGKGTCACCAGAGCAGAGGCTCCACCAGGAGGGGGCCTTACAGCTGTCTTGGGTCTCCGGAAGCCACTGTGAGCAGTAATCCTTAGGAAATGTCCAAACAGCTCAGGGAGAAAGTAAATCAGTGCCCAAAGTCCCCTCTTGAGAAGAGGGGACAAGATGTATGACACATCACTGTGAATAGCCTTTTATATGCTACTGTGCAAATATAACTCCTAAATAAATGGCATCCACTCTTGTCTCCTTGTCTGCACATTACTTTCTTCTCCTAGGGGTTCTAGTGAATAAGGAAACAAACCGATTCAGTTTTCATGATTAAAAAATAAATAAATAACAAAACACTTTTGCTGCCTAGACGTGTAAGGGAGAAATCACCAATGTGTTCAATGARCCTGCTCTTCATTACAGACCCGCTAGGAAGCAATGGAAATTGTGTGGTAGATTGTGGTATTACTTAGATTCTCAGTTGTGTTTGAAAAGGCCAGTTTGGATCCTGGCTCTTTCCCAGCCATGGCTACATGGACGTATTGGCTGGATGTCATTGCATTTGTTTATAGGCTGTTTTGAGGATTAGGCCTTGGTGGCTTTGTGTCTCAACTTAAATGGTGCTTGTGGTAAAGAAACCAGATGGTCTGTTTTAGGTGAATGCAGAGTTTTCTTGTTTTCTGCTTTTCCCTCAAATTTACTGGAAACACAGTATGCCTTACAGTGTTTCCCCTACTCACTTTGCTTAAAAGCCCACCTACCATAACACTCACTTAGAGAATTCGCACCAAATTAATTTGCCTGGTACATACATTTATGAATTTAACCACTGCCACCGGTGCCTGTAGAAGTTATTCGAGGTCTGTTCCCACTTCTTCAGTAAAGTCATTGGTAACTCTGTCAGACACTTGTTGTCCCCCAGCCAAAGTGCAAAGCTCCTCTCATCTTTTCCACTGTACTAAGTGTCCAGTTCTTGGCCATCCGCCATATTGTACTTTTCCCTAATCAAGTGCCTGCTCTGTCCTGCCTTACTGGGTTGTTCAATTCTAAAGTCCAAGAACTCCGGCTCCCTGCATCCTTTCTCTCTGCTGGTCACCAGTATGGTGCAAAGTGCTGAGGAAACCTTATCCCTCTGTGACAACGAGCAGGTCATTCATTGTCTAGTCTGACTGCTGGAGTTACACTTTTGGGTTATTTGTTCTTGGGAATCTACCCAAAGACGTGATGGCGAGCTTCTCGTTCTCTTTCTTCTCTGGAATAGTTTTACCWGCATTAACTTGGGGGAAACCTCGAAGGCCTCCCTCATTTGCTCCTGTGCTAATAGACAAAGCAACTCCTAAACTAGTGTTCAGATTAGTATTGGATCCCAGGCTAAGCACTGGGATTGTGGATTGGAGAACATTTTTCTAAGTAATAGTGAATGAGGAGTCCAACATTAGTCTCACATTAAGTTCTTTGGAAACTAAAGAACCTCTTCAGAGAACGGGCAGCGTCATTACCAGTGACACACAGCCTGTGCCTCATCCCACGACTGTGGAAATGCAGCCCCACGGGATTGTTTGCAGTTTTGCTCCAATGAAAATGAAAATAGAGAAGAATATGAAATTGTAGAATAATCACGTAATGAAGCTTTAGTGAAAAACATGTTTAATGTTTTAATAATGTCATCTCTCTAATGATTTTTCAGTATGTTATTCTTTTACATTCCAAAACTAAAATTATGATTTTATAATTTTCAGCTTCGCAAGTCTGTTTTCAGCATCAGAGCAAGGAACCTTCTGGAAAAGGAGACTGCGGTCACTAAAATCTTAAGGTAAAACCAATAAGTGTTGATATATGCTCAATCATACGTAGAATTAAGCAAAAAAGAGGTTTTTTTAAGTGAACCAATTTTCAATTTTCTGTGGATCAACAAACATACTTTCTGTTAGATAGCAGGTTTGAGTAAGTATACACTTATATACAATGTCAACAACATTACTAATGTCTTTGCTGAAAAAGTAGTATTTCATTAGCAAATTAGGCCATTTCTTTCTTTCATGTATTTAAACATAAATTATAAAAACATTTATAAAAATATTTAAATAACCATTATTCTTATAGCCTCTTTTGTGATACCTAAAGGAAAAATCATGATCTGGAAAAAAATGGTAAGCAAGTCAGACTTTTAAAGCAATTATGATTTTTAATCTACTAATCAAGTTATTAAAAGTCTATTAAGAGTTGAAAGCATACCCATCTTAGAATGCTTATGAAAACATGTCATTATTTTAATGCCACTTCTAAAACATGTCTTGAAGTGAAGTATCAATAAGAAAAATTAAACTTATTTAAACATATAAGGCTATGTTATAATACAGAGTAATTTGATCAATATAAAATCCATATGCATTTGGAATATCACTTATTGCTGCGTATATTATGTGAACACATGTAAATGGCACAACCAGATATTTGGAGCTGAAGGTAGGAGGGCTGACAAGGTGAACAGACATATCATACCAGGAGGGTCTCTCCAAACTCGTGGTGAGTGGAAGAAGATAGACTCAGGTACTAGGTTCATTCCTAGGAATGGTCATGAAAGCATTTGCCTGGACTGTCTATTACTGTAACTCAGAAGCCTGTAACGAGAAAATAAAGCAAAGTATATATGAGAACTATATTTGCATTTTAATGTTACCTGAAATTTGTGTGTAAAAAACAAATATTCTACCTAATGACGACTGTGTCCTATGAATTCCCTTTCCATTGGTGAACATTCATGCACAGAGTTGCAGTAACTTTTACTAAATGAGAATAAATACTTAGGATTTATCTCTTCACCACAAAATATGAAGAGACAAATGTGAAAGGTCTCATTGAAATATACAGTCTGGGTCCCAACCTGAGTTTGTCTGTCTGGCTGGTCACCCCACCCTGTTGTTACCATGGAGACATGCCATGAGGTCTGTCTTGACTGCTTCAGTCTCAAGAATCATTACTCAGGCTCACCTGTACCAGACAAGCTTATGACAGGGTTCTACAGAAAAATGTGCTGGTCTTCTCAGTGGGAAGAGACCCTCGCCGGGAACTGTAATATTCTGAGTCCGACAGACCCACCTGACCTTCCCCAATGGTCCAGGTCAACTGCCATCCAGAGATGGAGCTGTACCTGGGGCACCTGTGACTTTCCCAGGCAGAGGCAGACACTGGTTCTTGTGAGAAACATGTCCCCAGGCTTCACTTCCCTGGGCACACACCTTATAACCAGTCTGCTGCTTTCCTTCTCCACCCTGTCATGATGTGAGTCTGGAATGTCCCCAGAACTTTGATTGTTGAGGCTTGTTTGCCAGGGAAGCAGTGAGCAGAGAGGGGATTGGGGCAGTCTTCAACCTCACCAGTGGATTAACCCAAGTGATGAAGCAATGAATTGAATGGGCTACTGAGAGGAGGTGTTGACTGCAGGCAGCTGAGGTGTGGCTGGGGACATGCCTTTAAGGACTATCTCCTGTCCCTGGCCTTTTCCTCTGTGTCAATCTGTCTATCTATCCATCATCTATCTGTCTATCCATCCATCCATCTATCTCAGTTCCCAGCTCCAGGAGCTGACAGCTTCCTCTTCCGTGTCCTTCCTCACCATGTCGGCCTCACCTCAGGCCCAAAGCAGGAGCTAACTGATCCTAAACTGAAACCTCTAAACCATGAGCCACAATGAATCTTGCCCCCTCTAAGTTGTCCGGGTAATTTTGGTCACAGGGACAGAAAGCTGAAAACAAACCCCCTTTCTTTCTTTACCTCCATCAGTTTACAAGAGAACGGTGAAACTCACCCCTCCAGGAACTACGGTATGGGACCGGGACTGAGGTTCTCTGGACGGCCACACAAGGAAGGGGCAGGCCCGTCGGGGCTGTCTCCAAGAGCGTGGCCTTATTGTTTTCCAGGTGACCTTTAATTGGAAGCTTCCTTCCAGACTTCACCTACCTTAGAGTCAGGCATTTGAGATCACAGAGTTGTCACAAGGAACAGGTTAACATGTCGTTTGTTTTGAAAAAAAAAAGTTAGACTTTTTCCGACAGGTTCTGTTGATTGGTTTGACAATGAAGAAAGACTCAATAGTGCCCAATGTCACACATTTGAGTGAATTGTAAGGATGAAACTGGTCCATGTTTGCTTAAAAATCCTATTCAATACATCGTAATGCCAGGAATTACATTCTTTACTTCTGTTTAACATGGCAAGGGGGAAACTTAATAGGCAACTTTTAAAAATATTTTTTAGTTGTTGATGGACCTTTATTTTAATCATTTATTTATGTGTGGTGCTGAGATTCAAACCCAGTGCCTCACACATGTGAGGCAAACGCTCTACCACTAAGCCACAATCCCAGCCCTTAATAGTCCATTTTTAAAGGTACAGAAGTTTAGAAAATTGGGGGGAGGGAAATAAAATTATGGTGTATGTGAAGAAAACATTATGGACCCCCCTCAAACCTGCCCAACAATTGTATGATTTGAGGGATACCCAGATACAAAGTACTTTAGGACATCCCACACACTTCAAAATGAGAAGAACTCCTTACACTCTTGGCTACTTTGCCCTGTGAATTACCGGACACAAAAGGCTACAGTTTGAGGAAAAAAAAAAAAAAAATAGAATCTATTCAAAATACAAATTTGATTCTTTAGAAAAATGCCTCCTGTTTCATTTGTAAAAATGGTTTCCTCGTTGCTGCCTCTGTAAACTGATACCTTTTGGGGGGGAATAGCCAACTTTTACCACTTCACGAGTCCTACTCCTAGTAGTAAYGTTAGTAATAATGAGGCCGATACCTGCATCATACCTGCCTCCTGGTGTAATCCCTTAGTTACAAAGTCATGAATAGATTGGGGCCCTGGGCATGGCTCTATGCTGTTTTCCCAGGAACAACAACAACTAATAAAAAAAAAAATAAGAGGAAAATTGAAAGAAGAAAAGAAAACATCTGTGACAGCCCCAGGGCCCTGATGCGGACACCTGCCAGAAGTGGGAAAGTAAGAAACGCTTTCTTTCACTGTCTCCTTTGGCCCCTGGGCTCTCGCTCTCCCTCCGCCTGTTAAACCTTGCCAGAGCCCTTGGGGAACCTGGAAGTGGCCTCTTCTGGGACCCTTGGCACTCTTAAAGGAAGGAAGGGCTGAGAGTCAGGATGCAGTTTCGTCTTTTGGTGGGCRAATCTGCCCTGGTTCACGTAAAGGAAGTCTGGCAGAGTCTAATGTCCTCAACTTTCCTAGATGTTTTTTTTTTTTTTTTTCTCATGGAATTATTGTCTTTCGTGTCTCTGAAGGTTTCTCACCAAGCGACAGGTAAGAAAAGTATAGGGAGACCTGGGAAAGGACCTCACCTGAGTCATTCTGGTACAGCTTGGCACTTGTCCTGATTTGGGTGCAGGTAAAGTAACTTTAAGCCAGTATGAGATGTTAGTGTCTTTAAAATAACTCCCACAAAATAACGAGTATTGGGGGGAAATAAAACAAGGCAGATCCCTGCGGCGAGGTGTGCAGAGCCTGTCTGTGTGGACTGGTAATTTGTCTGTGAACTCTCAGTTCGCTCGATGGAAGGTGGGAGTCCAGGGTGCCTCCAGGCCTGACCCAGAGCCCTGGGCAGTGTCTCTCTTGCTCCTCTGTCACCTCAAGTAACTCCCTGATCTCACCCTCAGTTTTCCTATCTGCCCTTGTGGAGGAGACTTTCCAGAAAATTCTGTCTGACTGACCTGTTGATTGGGCAGGGTGAGATTTAGCTCTTCCTGCAGTGCAGACCACTGCTCCAACAGCAGGATGCCTCTAGCTCGGGGCTGGGAATGTGTAAGGGCTTGGTGAGCTGCAGAGCTGGTGGCAGACTCTGGGGCTGTCCAGCACACACACCAGGCAGCAGGTACCTGCTCYTGACACTTTTTTTTATTCCTTTTGGGCCTTTTGSTCTTTAACTCTATGTGTGCATTACCTTTAAAAATAAAAAGTACAACTGAGGCTTAGAAACAACATCCAGAAGTGCCCAGCATTACTGAGCCCCAGGGAGAAGCACCTGGACGGGAGTCTTGATGGGTTGACCAGTGGAATGAAGGACTCAGTCTAGAGGAGAGGCCTGYGCCAGCAGCTGTGGTTCAGACGAATGGATCTGGGGGACGCGCTTGCAGCTGACAGTGGAACAGCACCGACAGTAGCAGGTCGCCTTCCTCCACACGAAGTCCCATTGATGCAGAGGCCTCGGTTCTCTCCCAGTGGTTAAGCTGTGGGGCTGCTGGGAGTTTCCGTCCTCAGGGGAATCATTGCCAATATCCATCTTCCAGTTGAAATAGGATTCATATTATTTCAGCAAAAAGTGTCTATATACATTACCACGAGCAGGAAATTCCATCCACGAAGGAAAACCTCAGAGAGAAAAGGCCCTGGAGTCTGAGAATGTATGTCACTCTTTGATGGAGTCACCCATTCCTATGCATAATAATCTTTAATTCATGCTCTTGCAGTTATAACTTTCAAAAAAAATGGTGTTTCRAGAAATAGAATTTCTGCCTCTACTTGAGAACACTTTGATGAGAAAATGGTGAGCCATTTGTGCACATCTTGGGAATGCTGCAAGGCTTAGGTGAAGGTGACCCAGTGGCCAGACAGACATCTGTGCTGAACACTGTGAGAGGAAGGATGTTCCRCTGTCTCAATTATAAAATCCAAAGTTGCTAGACTCTGCCATTCAGCTCCACTGAAGAAGGCTCCCTTCACACGGCAATGACCTTTTCTCTGTATCAGAAGAAATCAAAAATAAATAGCAGTGTGTTTTCAATGCCCCACTACCTCCACG